CTCCTCTATTCACAGGGCGCTTTTCCCTGTTTTTCTGCACCATGTGTGCCCCACACTCCCAAGCTCTGTCCACAGGGAGCTCTGCAGTGCTGGTGTTGGTAGAGAAGGGCTTGAGGGAGTTTTGGTGACAATTCAGCAGTGACCATCCTTCAGCATGTTTGTGTGGAGCTGTTCTCCAGCAAACCTTGGTGTTCAATATTCCTGTTTCCATATGGAAATCAAACCAGGCTCTGTGCATTCCTGCCTGAGAGCTGTGGTGGGGACTGCAAAGACTCTGAGAGCAAAATTTGCATTTTGGGAATCCTTTGATTGCTCTTGGAGCAGGAGCACATGGATCTTGGATGCCAAGGAGCAGTGCTGAACCAAACCCACTGATTCCAACTTTCCTGTGCAGCTCTCGCTTTCATAATTCCAGTTTTAATTAGAGAGGAATTTCTTCTTTTAATTTCCTGGCTGGGTGTGATGTGCCTGATTAAGAAGACACCACAATTAGGGTTTAGCTGAGGGATTTTCAGCACCAGTGGAAAAGTCCCAGCTGGAGCTGTTACTGTGAGGATCTGACACTGACTTTTCATTCGCTGCTTGATGGGTGTGAGGGATAAAAGCTCCTTTTGCCTGTGCTGGGTGAATATTTGAATTTTTAGTGCTGTTCTGGCTGTGATTTGGTGCATTTGCACAGAGTGGGGCAGGATGTGGTGACAAACCTTGAACCAAAGGAAGAGATGTCACAGGAAAGTGCAAAACATTCACTCCATTCCATATTCACTCCCTTTTCCCAGAGGAAATAAAATAAAAACATGCTGGTGTATATGTTAGTAAATATTCATCAATTTATGAATGTGAGCTGGGAAAGCTTTTGGGACAAAAAAAGCTGTTGTTGGATAAAACCTGAAGGGAAAAATGAAATAAAACACAAAGAATACAGTCAATTTTATTGCAGCTGAAAGGCAAAGCATGTAGATGAAAAAATATCAGACACTCATAATATATAGAAGCCATAAGAAGCAATGACATTCTACAAAGGTGAAATGTTGAAAGGAGAAAAAATAAGATTTTAACACAATCTTGCTGCTTTGCTAGGATTGATGGAAATCTGTTGCTGGTATTGGGAACATGGATGTGGTAGCCAGGAGAAAGTTCTTTTTATTTGGGAGAATATATTTGCATCCCAAGCAAGAACAGCTCTCT